AATGAAGATAAATAGATAGTAAAAATAAAATAGGTACTGTATATTTGAATCAACCAAACTAGATGTTAGAAGATAATGTAACTGATTACGTAAATCAGTCATGCTTACTTGAATACATGAACAGAGACTTTGGGAGTAATGCGTTCTCTTCCGCTTACACATGCTCTGATAAGAACAATGTTTATGTGCAATCAGAAACAAAGGTTTGATCAGATTTGGTATTGCGTAGGGGAAAAGGAAGATTTCAATAAAAGGAGTTACGGTTTTAATAAAGAAATCGATAATCGAAATGTCGCGGTATTCGCACCATGCGGGATCTAGAATGAATGAATTACCGGCTTGACATTTAGAAGTAAACATTCAATGCAATTTGTGAACAACACATCGGCAAATGCACGCAGACGTAAAATTATTGATTCTGTTAATGAATCTAGAATTAGAAGCTGGCTCGTCCAATAAAAATTTTTGACAAAACGGGCTAAATCAATCTTGTAATCAAATGTCGGAAATTCCACGTCTCTAGGTTGCATATTCCCAGAAGGATTGGCAACACGAGATGTAAAGTTTAATTACACGTTTGAAACTGATTTTTAACACAGTATGTAATGCGCCACAACTACTTACTGTATCTAGCTTTAATAAATAACAACCAATTAAATATACAGTAATATACAGTATATTTGGCTTGACAAATTAAATTATGAAATGAAGGAATTGTATTATTTCAAAAAATTGCCTTAAAAGAATGTTTGTTGCGTAACACGTGCGTGACAATGGTGTACTGAAAAAAAAAAAAAAAAAAAAAAAAAAACGCGAACCATAAAGACGGGCGCGTGCGAGCCGGAAATCAAAGTTACGGATAATATTTATTACTTTCATGTCGTGTAAAGGAAATTTTTTATTATTGAAATCAAGATTATACCGGACATCATTAAAAGCTTATGTAAGAAAGAAACGGCGTAAAGAGATTGTGATATTTCGGAATAATAATCTAGGCAAAGTAAGTTATTAATAAATAAATTCATTGCGAATGTAACCATAACCCCGCCGAATTTTTTAATGCACGGAGTATCTTAATGGTACATCCGTCTTTCTCTTGTTCTCCTATTCTGAACTTGCCTACTTAAACTTCATCTATCCATTTTTATAAATGCATTTAGTAAGGCTGCAGACATGCGCTACGGAGAAGGGGGCACAGGAATGAATATTCGAATGTCCGCATCGTGATCGAAATGAATGAACGCGATAAACGATCAAGTTTGAATGTGATGGAATGATAGGACACAGATAATATCAAGCATAGATCCGGCTAAAGTGAATGCTAGGAGCAAGTACTTTCTTTGTCCATGAATGAAATACCAATGAAGTTTATTAGAAAAGACGCGATATTGATGTAGGAAAGTAAATGTTGATGCTGTGTAAAATCAGAAAACCACAATGACGACCAAATATTTTATTTAAATTACAAATTAAAGTTTTACTTGACCCTCCCACCCGTGTTTTAGCGTGTACTTCCATTACTAATTCTACTTGCAGAATTCATTTATCCTGTTTAATTCAACAAGACCGGTATTTTTATTTTTATTTTTTATTTATTTATTTATTTTTTTTTACTGACGAAACTTGACTAAATTCATTACGGATAAACCAAATAATAAGCGTGGCGTACCTTTCTGATTTATTTAATGCAAACATGATTAATCTGAATGATCAAACTACCTCAATCAATTATTAAATTTGTCGATAAACGCAGGATTTAAATTAAAAATATGAACTCCGATAAATCTCTTGTTGTGTAAAGATAGTAAACCAGTAGCGATCAGGTGAGAAGTGAGTCTAAGCTTTTTTCTTTCTTTGAGACAATTAAATAAGGTTTAATGATATAATTGAGGGTAATCTTTCTTTGGTGTGAGAAGTGAATTCTCAATTATGTATCGCATTTATTTTTGCCTTAAAAGAAGAATGCACCGTTCAATATGTATGTGATAATGCAAGGAACATGAAATTTAAGCAAGGTACTCGGACAGATCACACATATGAAAGAAGCATCTTCCGGAATTAGTGATGAAGATTATGAAATTACAGTGAAGAATGATACATCTTGCAGCATGCATTTCTAAACAAAAAATTTATTTAAATTAAATATGGCACTGAAGATAAAAAAAAAACATGACGTGGATGACAAGAGATGTATGTCACTTAACCGTGGCGTTTTACGTCTACAGTTATATTTAAACGCCATTGATTTAGGAACAAAATCAATACTGTCAATATTAATTTGGGAAATAAAATAATTTCGAAAATAAAAATATACATCAAATCCCCGGGGCATATAAGCTGCGGTTCATCATTTAAATGTTGTAATAATGCATAAATTTGGTCAACAAAGAGATGCATACGACGAACGGATTAATTCAAGGGCACATGAGCTATTTCCATTATCTCCCATCTGGTATTTGGTCTCAGGATACCTATCTTTCAGAATTAGGAAGCTGAGCCTTTCAACCCTCGAAAAAAGATTCATAAAGTATGAATTGCCTTATAAATTACCTTCATTGAAACCCATGAAATTTTTTATCATTGGTTATTACATTCTTCCATATGTCTAATTAAGTTCTTTTTTTTTTTTTTTTTCATGCCTTTGTCTCCGTCGCAATTAAATTAACCCTGGCTGATAGCTTAAAGTGAAAAGGAAATCATTTGTTCATTGTTTATGAAGATAAATGACAGCCCACATACGGCGTACACATACTTTGTTCGCTAAGCTGGGGTTTAGGCCGTACTCCACATTTTTTTTCTTTCAAATAATTTTTCTCTTGGCATATATGCACACAGATTCAATGGTTTTTTTTTTTACAAATGCCCGAAGGAAATTTAATTTCAGTTGAAAATGCCGAGTATGTACAGCCTAGATTTCGTACGCACCGCATAGATTTCCATTTCCCCCCTTATTTCCTAAAATGGAAATACACACTGAATCTCTATTAATGGCAGCTAATGGATTTTTTTATAATAATGACTGAATCACAGATTCCAATTTAGGAGTAAAATGGGACAAATGTGGAAATCTCTTGAAATGCACGAGAACATAATGGAAAAGAGAAATGTCAATCAGTGCACAGGTGATACAAGATCAACTTTCTGAATTACTTTTGTAGATATATTTAAATTTCTCTGATTGGTGTGAAGTTCTATCCTTTATTCCTCGTTATGGACTAGTTAAAAATAGTTACGTATGTGTTTGTTTATACACATGATCAACCTGGAAAAATAAAAGCTAATCGGAAGTCAAAGAAGTAAAAATTTGGTCATTAAAGATATATTTCACAACAACCTGAACAACCGGAAGCATAAAAGATTTAGAGTTTTGCGCCTTTGTTTTCTGCTTTTCCCCTTGTTGTTATAAATTCCAATATATCGGCTATCCATTTGGTAGTTATACGTGATGAATGGAAAGTTCTGCGAGGACGAAATAACTCTTTCAATTTCAATTATCTAACAACATACTCGGTAATCCCAGATATACAATCATTCCTTTGTTTTCCATGTATATATGCTATAGACCTGTGTATGATATTGGAAGATGGATTTAAAAAAATAAAAATAAAAATCATTGGAAAAGTCTGGAAACAAGAGGACGAATTAGGTAACATTGAATTATAAGAAATTCAATTGCTTATGAAAGTAAATTGAATTCGCGCTCATGTTTTTCCATTTGATTGTTCATTTAACAAAAAAAAAAGCGTATAAATCCGAATAGTGTAGGGCAATGTAGTTCTGAACGAGCAATTATCGATATTATTAATACACTGTATAATATACTGTATGATGCGCACTCAAGATTTTGTCATTTGTTAAATAGTCTAACGCAATATATTTCATTAATATACAGTTACTATATTATCATTTTTAATCATGTCCATGGTACCTGAAAACATCATTGTGACAATGTTCAGTCACATATTTTCCATAACGCAATATCACTTAATTCCAGGAACTTGTCACCTTTGGAATTAAGTTCACTTTTAAAACTTGTTTTAAATCCTGATTTTAAATCCTGTTTATTTTGATTACAGACAGGCAATCTGAGAATGCTTTTCCCAGATTAAAGCACGTATTACAACGATCGATCTGTTATTATCTAAGGGCACATGGTTAAGTGTTTTATTTTTAATAATTCCATGCAAGGGTCAAAGGGTTTTCATGTTTGCCAATTTCGTTGAAGGGCTCGTTCCTTTTTTAAACACACGGTATTTACGTAAGACCAACTAATTAATGCGACGATATCCATATACGGCATATTAGAAAACCCTGTATGCCTATTAAATGATAATCCGAATCCTGTTATTACAAGATTTCTATTATACGGTGCGAAGCAATAATATAGTGTTAACTATCTTCTTTTTTTTTTTTTTCAATTAGAATTTATAATTTAGATCAGATAATAATAATACTAGACGATATTAATTTTAATAAATTTAAAGCTTGGAATTAATAATTTATTTATGAAATCAAGAAATCGATTCTTGAAAATTTTTTTAAAAAGTGAAAGATGAAATAAATTAAATATAGAAAATCTTTTCATCAGCTTTTACCAAATAACTAAAAAATTTAAAACCTCTTGCGATCAAACAAATATAACACGGAAAATCCAATAAATAAATAAGACATATTTTCATA